ACATGTGGACGTGCATTGTTGTGGAGAAGAAGAACACCTTTCCGATTGACGAGTGAAGGGCTTTTCTGATGAAGGGCTTGATTTAAACGTTCGAGTTGCTGATTATAGATCTCTGCATTGACAGTTCGCTGTGGATTGAGGAGTTCGAAATGAAATACTCCTTTGATGTCCCACCAAATGTAAAGCATCACTTTATGCGGATGGAGTCCAGGTTTTGGGTCGGAAGTGGTTTTTATCCAGGACTGAGCCATTGTTTTTCGCGTTTAATATTCGCATAGAGAATCCATTTTTCATCACCGGTGACAATTCTGTCCAAAAATAGTTCACGCGCATTACGTACCAGAAGAGCCGAAGCACAGTTCACACGTTGGAAACGATGATCATCGGAGAGTTCGTGAGGCACCCAAACACCTTCTGTATGTAGTTTTCCCATATTTCTTAGATCTTTATGTATTGCTTCTTGAGAGACATGCAATTTCAGGGCCATTCACGAGTGTGTGTTGCCTTGGGTTAGACTCAACAAGCGTCTTCAGAACATCAATATCAATTCCAACATGTCGTGTGCCATCACTATAAGGGATTAGAATATAGTAAACTTTACACGTTATATAGGCTACACTATCGTGACGTTTAGTCGGTTTGTTTAACTATTATACGTGATGTATAATAGTAATGAAAGTGTTCCAAAAGGCGATATTAATTTCTTGACGATTTAATAGTTTTTGCAAAATTTGGAGTACGTTATGTTAAAACGATTTTGAATATGCAGATAAGCAAGTCACGTGACAACCACAGTCAGGATAAAGTCACAGTGGAACAGAACGTTTCAGAACTACATTTTATCTTTGTTTCGCGTCGCGTAGGTAGTGTAACGCCAACGAAATTTATTGCATTTGGGAAGGGTACTATATAACAGCCTTTTCGGACTCACAATATTCATAAAGATGTGTTTAAATTGGGGACTTAGAATCTCCAAGATGAGGATATCCTTTGTATGTAATGGTATTAAAAGGCAAAGGAATATGGATCAACTTGGCATGCCAGAACCATCAAGAAACAAGACCTGCAACTTTTGTAACTCACCTATGGTACGAAAAATGTGGTGTCTTGTAATAGTTGAGAATCCACGAACACAAATTGTGCAACAGTAAGTAATATAATAAAGAACAATATCTGTCTGTAAGCAAGGCAGCGGGGTATGGGTTCACCAAGGTGAGGGTTCCAGTCATACTTCCTGTCTATTCATCCCATTTCTCAAGCAGCTCAAATGGATTTTCACATTATTTCATACGAAATCATACCAATCAAGTCTCTGGACACGATGCCTATGGATTTCTTTGCGATCGGACTCTTGAAACGGGTGCTGTGAAACCGATATCCTCATATACCAGATGGATTATGGAAAGCCAGTTGGGTAGAGCTTTTAACATGACAGTCTTACGACAGAGCATTTGCAATGGAAACTAGATTGTAAGGTTATTGTCAAGAAGCACGGTAGTCAGATAGAGCATGACTGGACGTGGCAACATGGGCTGTAACAATGTGGTGAGTGTCCAAAATCGTTATAA